CGTCCATCATCTTCACGGAGACGACGAACTGCCGGGTGATGAAGGTGTGGGTGGAGGGGGAGAGGGAGGGGAGGATGGAGGTGGTGGCGAACCTGCCGGGGTTCCCGGACAACGTGAGGGGGAACGGGAGGGGCCAGTACTGGGTGGCGATAGACTGCTGCAGGACGAGGTTCCAGGAGGTGCTGGTGAGGCACCCGTGGACGAGGAGCGTGTACTTCCGGCTGCCGGTGCCGATGCAGTACCTGGCGAGGGCGGCGGGGATGAGGATGTACACGGTGGTGGCGCTGCTGGATGAGGAGGGAGGGGTGGTGGACGTGCTGGAGGACAGGGATGGGGAGGTGATGAAGCTGATGAGTGAGGTGAGGGAGGTTGATGGGAAGCTTTGGATTGGGACTGTCGCTCATAACCACATTGCCACCCTCCCTTATAACCCTCCTCCTCCTTCTTCTTCTTCTTCTTCTTCTTCATGATTAATTAATACTGTACTAGTATAATGGAGTAATCTCTTGTTCTTAGTTATATTAAATAATTAGCCATTAATTATTACCACTTTTTTATACGCCCGGCCAGAAGAGTATACATGCATTAAGAATCAATGCACGTGACTAATGCCCCGTATCTACTATTCCATCATTTTTAAGGCGCCAAATGGCTTCCCCCTTTTCCAATTTAGCATCAACTCAGTTTTTACTCGCAAATCCCTTTCTTTTCTCTTTCAAGAGAAAGGTTTCTCCTTTTCCCCTTCACTTTTTACTTTTATTTTACAACACTTATTTTAATTTATGTAATTAAACTAAAAACACAAAAACAATAAAAATTTACTTCAAACATTTAAAGTTATAGATTTAAATTAAATTAAAAGTAATAATATAATTGATACATTAAAGTAATTGAGACACAATACAAATATTGGCATACAATTCATATTTGGAATAAAAATCTTAACATAATTCATATCTAAAAAATAACTTTGAAGCGTAATCATCATATACAATTGGTGGAGCGAAACTCCACAAATTGACGTGCGTAATGATTTTTTTAACACCTAACGACTAACTTTAAAAAAAACAGTGGACCGTTGCCAACGAGGGAACCCTGCCTTTCCCGTTACCACTTAGGGGGGGGGGGGAGGGGGGGTGTTCCCGTCCTAATTTTGCCCTTCCCCTTATTTCCCGCTCAGCGCACCAGACCGCCTAATTAATGGCTAATTGATGAAAGAATTACCACGGAGTGCTTGTAATTTATAGTGCACTCTACGANTAATGATTTTTTTAACACCTAACGACTAACTTTAAAAAAAACAGTGGACCGTTGCCAACGAGGGAACCCTGCCTTTCCCGTTACCACTTAGGGGGGGGGGGGAGGGGGGGTGTTCCCGTCCTAATTTTGCCCTTCCCCTTATTTCCCGCTCAGCGCACCAGACCGCCTAATTAATGGCTAATTGATGAAAGAATTACCACGGAGTGCTTGTAATTTATAGTGCACTCTACGAACTTCATACCCCATTAGTAAAGATCAAAACTAAATAAGAATATATTTAATGCTAGAACTAACTCGTAGATTAGCATGAATTATCACCATATAATCACACATCATTTGAAGAATCAATAATTATCATAGATTATCCAATATTATCATAATAAAATAATTATTCATTTTCATTCCCTACACTACTCTTAACCTACATGGCTAAGATTCACAGAGTCATGGACATCCAATCAATGTTTGGAGCCACTCTCAAAATCTTAAAAATCTTTTTTGAGATGGGTTGGATCGCTTCTCTAGCACTGTGACCAGATCAAATCAGACCAGATCAGAATTTCAAAAAATCATATGAGATTAGATCAGATCAGGCAAACGGAACGCAGCCTTAGAAGATGTTTCTCTGTGCTGATCGTTATTGACTCATTGGTGATAAGCAGTTTTTAACTAATAAGCTGCCTATAAGCCAAATACTCTCTCATGGAAGTAAAATGACTTAGATAATTGATAAGTCATTTGAAAATATTAATAAATGCTGATAGATAGTTTTGTAAATAATCTGGTCAAAACGGAGAAATGAAAAAATTAACTTAAGAATAAGCATGTAAGACCCACTTATTTTTTCTGGCTTATAAACTGCTTACAAATATAGAAAACATGTTATCAGCTAACTTATAAGAAAAATGGTTTATAAGTAGTTTTGATCCGTTCATAAGCAGAGAAATACTCATAAGTTATACTCCCTCCGTCCTAAAATTAACATCACAGTTTGACTTTTGTAGTCAAACTTTTTAAACTTTGATCGTTTATTACGGAAAAAATACATTGAATTTTCATATAAATTTATCAGCAATAGATTCATTTTGAAACATATTTTTAAAATATGTAATTTTTATAAAATATATTTATATATGCAGAGAAAGTCATCCGTAATCAGCATACAATTTACAAAGGAAAATGCCAGGGCCACATGTATGCTACCATGCTACCATCGGCTCCTCATGCTTAGACGAGTGAGCTTATCTGAAAGACAATCCCCATTTCTCTCGCAGCTGAAAACCTTATCATTTTTTTCCTGAAAACCATATCATTATGCTTAGATTCATCCTGTCTTCCTCAAAATCCAAGCTTTCGAGGAAGCCCATTAACGTCTTATCCTCATTTCCCAATCTTTCTGTGAAAAAAGGCAGCTTCTCGTCCCGGTATTCTCTGAATGGAGCCAGGGGTTTCAGCAGGGAAGCGATTAACTATGATGTGGTGATCGTCGGAGCCGGTCCTGCCGGACTCTCTGCCGCGATAAGGTTCAAGCAATTGTGCAGTGAAAAAAACGCCGACTTGTCGGTTTGCGTTGTCGAGAAAGGCGCAGAAGTGGGTATGTTCAAATTTTGTTTCACTGCCTATAATTGTCCTCTGAGGAGCACCCTTTTTTTTAATAAAATTTGGAATGAATTCCGGAGGTACTGTTTTGAAATGGACATTTGATCAACTGTATTGCTGACATTTTTTGTGCCCTGGTATTTTTAGTGCAGAAATTGATTCATATTTGATGATTGAAACAGGTGCTCATATTTTGTCTGGAAATGTATTCGAGCCGCGAGCATTGGATGAACTTATCCCGCAGTGGAGGCTGGAAAAGGTAATGCAATGGCTTGCCAGTAATTGGCATGCTATATGTAATCATCAATTGCGATAAAGATAACCTTTAATTTTCAAACATGGCTTAGCTTGATATGTATTTCAATCATGATTTGTGATCAAATATTAGCTGGTTTGGGAACTGGGAAGAATTCCAAGCTGGTATAATACACGTCGGGCGATGAGCCCACATGACATTGATAGGTGGCGTCCAAATCTAGTTTTGCATGTCAACTCTAGCAGTTACAGTGACACTTCTCTCCTCTATAAATACTTGAGTTATAGTTCATTGGGAGGGGCTGGTTTCTGAATAATAGCCCTCACATATATTTGTAGCACTACCAATCGCTCGTGATAATAACAATTAGACCACGAGTGTTCCCAGTTTAGTCTTTTGCTCCTTTACTGGGTAGACACCATCTCTTGCTGGTTTGTTCAAAACTTAAAACTATACAGTTGTACAAAAGTATGTTGAACAAGTACTTATCATCTTATTATTTAAAAGGAGTATGTATTAGCTTGAGATATAGCAGTTGGCTGTATGTACTCCCTCCGACCCATACTAAATTTGTTTGAAACAATTTTTTAAATAAAAAACGGTTAAATATAATGAAAATTAGCGTCTTTTGTTCAAATTGGATTCTTTGTTGGAGACAAAAAGAAGTTTAAAAGCAAGGGAGAAAGACCAAAGTAGGACTAAAACATTGAAAATATACCAAAATAGGACTTCCATGTTTTTATTCCCGAAATAGGACTTATATTACCAAACATGGTCATGTAAATTACCAAAAAAGTATAGTAATTTGCACATGTACATTGTCACATTACAACATGGCAAAGTCACATTACCACAGTCCAAAGTCCTATTTCGGGAAAAAACATGAAAGTCCTATTTTGGTACTTTTCTCTATGTTTTAGTCCTATTTAGGGTGATTTCTACTAAAAACAATACTTCTTTTAAGGGACGCAGGGAACATGTTCAAACTCATGGGATCATGGCCAATTCGTGACTTTAACTTTTCATTTTCCAGACTAAGAGATAGAGAAACTCTATGTGATTTTGAGATGTATTCCTTATCTCACAATGCCAAGTTTTGCATGTTTATTTTTATAATATTGATCTAGAAAATTCATTTATTATTATTTTAAATTTGTTTATAATTTAATATTCCTGTTTTTAGCAGGCTCCAATTGATGTTCCTGTTTCATCAGATGATTTTTGGCTGCTCTCTAGGACTCGTGCATTTTCTCTCCCAAGTCCATTCGAAAATAAAGGAAACTATGTGATAAGGTGCCTTATATTGATGTTATCTCAACTCTTGAGCTTGAGAGCATAGAAATTAACTATGGAGGACATGTATTTTTTCTCCTCTTTCTCCTATTTGTTAAGTAATTTTAGGTGTCAGGCATTTATTTTTCTGTTGTTTTATCTTTTCCTTTTTTTGTTTGTAGTATGGCTCGTGTATTCATTCTGTATCCTTTTTTCTAACTACATAATATGATATAGCATATAATGATTACATTGGTGCACTTTTTTCTAGACATTTTACTATTATCAACATAATGCAGTTTGAGCCAATTAGTTCGTTGGCTGGGAGAAAAGGCTGAAGAATTAGGAGTTGAAATATATCCAGGCTTTGCTGCTAGTGAGGTGTTCAAGTAACTTTGCTTTATTGAGAAAGTACAGCTTTTTAAATTTTAACCGTAGTCCTTACTCATCAGCTAATTCCAGATTCTGTACAATGAAAGTGATGAGGTCATCGGTATTGCAACTAATGATATGGGAGTGTCCAAAGATGGTTCTAGGAAAGAGAACTTTCAGCGTGGAGTGGAACTGAGAGGCAAGTTTAATCGTACATTTGTAAGAATTGAAATTGTTTCTGCACTATAATCTTCACTCGCGCTCTCGCTCTCTCTAGATGCAGATGCATTATAGTTCAAATAATGTATGAACTTTCTAGCATCTGCTACTAATTCATCAGAGAATCATATGCAGGGCGTGTTACTCTCCTTGCAGAGGGTTGTCGGGGATCATTATCAGAGGTATGTGTTTGTTCTTGTTTCTTCATTGTTTGGGATAATTCTTATAATTATGGCCACTGATTGTTTGCTGAAAGTGATCTTCACATTAATATATATTTAGCAACTAATTGGGAAATACAAACTGAGGGAGAAAGGGAATGGGCAACATCAAACTTATGCTTTAGGAATTAAGGAGGTAACCATCAACTTCTCTTTTCATCAGACCATTCTTCATTCATGGAGAACTTGTTTGTTGATTTTAGCTGCTAATTAGTTCATGAAGTTCTTAGGTATGGGAAATTGATGCAAACAAACATCGACCTGGATACGTGCTTCATACCTTAGGTTGGCCACTGGACCACAAAACTTATGGAGGATCTTTCTTGTACCATATGAATGACAGACAGGTATGGACTATTGCTTCTTTATCCAGGCGAACCATAGGGAAAAATGCCATTGCTTCTTCTATTTGCTATTATTATTAGTATAATTATTATTATTGTTGTTGTTATTATTATTATTATTATTTAGTATTACTATTATTTTCTATTATTTTATTTTTCATAGGGATTACATGTAAGTGGAATTAGAATGTTTGAAGAAGGGCATGGTGGTGCTTTGATTTATTTACTTAATTCAAAGGAGTGGCTTTACTGTTACATTTGCTTGTGGATGAGAATTGTTGAGATTTATTTGGTGTTGCTCTCTTGGGTGATATGCAGGTTGCAATTGGCCTTGTAGTAGCTCTAAATTATTGCAACCCTTACCTGAACCCATATGAGGAATTCCAGGTAAAAAATATAGAGAATGACATTCATTTTATAACTCCCTTTTTTCATTCATGGGTCTTTGCACTCTCTCTTCTCATATTTCAATATCACACAACTCAACTTAAAAAGGCTATTGGAAACCATCTGGAGTACACTGAATCTTAAAACTCACTAATCAATTACAGAGTACTAGATGTGGTGCTTGTATTAGCATTACATGTGTATTTTGCTTCCTAAAATCTGAATCTTACATGAAAATGTTTCAACATTTGGATTTCTTTTCCTTTTTTATATGGAGTGATTATTCTATTCCACGTCCAGAGAACTTCAAATGCCTAGTCCTTTATTAAATGATGTACTTTCTATAACACAAATTTCACTTTGGATATATTTCATGTATGCCCCCCCCCAAATTCTCAATCACAGAAATTCAAGCATCATCCTTCCATTAGACCAGTTCTTGAAGGTGGAGCAGTTCTCCAATATGGGGCCCGTACTTTAAACGAAGGAGGTTATCAGGTTCGCTAGTAACTCTCTTAATCCTGTAATGATTGTGGGTATATATTGTAGTACTAAAGTTGACCGTAAATAGTTGACACTAACCTCGTAGACGGGTGGTTTTGCACTTCAACATTTTACTTCTTGCTATGTGTTGTGCAACTGTGCAAGTACAAATATGATATAGTTAAGTTTCAGTCTGTTCCATATCCAGTGTTCCCGGGCGGAGCAATTATAGGATGCTCAGCAGGATTCCTCAATGTACCCAAAATAAAGGGGACTCACACGGCCATGAAATCAGGTATTGCTTAATGTGTATAATGTCTCGTGGTGGATGGTTCCAACTGCTTTCAGAAATTCATTTAAACACTGATTTTCTGGAACCCCTGCGTTTGAAGAAATGTGTAATTCTATAAAACCCACTTTTGCAGAAACATATGACAGTTCACTCTTAAATCATCATTATTTGATTAAAAAGAAACTTTTTTTTGTCATGCACTCAATCATAAAGTGTTGGAGATTCAGGGGATATAATTTAATAAAAAAAAGTAATTAGATGGATTTATGCTCTTTACGCATATTAATATTGGCCGAAATCACATCTTTCAATTTTCTATCTTCAAGAAAAATATCAACCTTACTAAAAAACAAGATGTGCCCTCTGGGACCTAGTATATTACACTTTGAACTTTGAAACTTTAAAATGTAGTATTCTTAACTCTTAAGTACTGAGTAATTGTTTTTTGTAGTCTATGAGACTATGACCTAGATTTTAACCTTTTAATATGACTAAAACCAAAAGATAATAACATCACACTTTTGTGTAGCTGTTATTGTTCTAGCATGACCTAAAGATAGAATAAGACAGAAGGAAAAGTGTCCCAAAATAAACTAGTAGATAAACTAGAAAGCTTTAGGTATGATTTACAAAAAATACAAAATGGTTTCCTTTGTTGATAAATTATGCAAAGAATATGTTCATTGATACTGTAAAATTTAAATCCACTAGGAATGCTAGCAGCAGAATCTGCATTTGGAATGCTCTTGGGAGGGTCAAGTTTAGAAAGTTATTGGGACAACTTAAGAAATTCATGGATATGGAAAGAACTTTACCATGCAAGGAACTATCGTCCGGTGAGCTCTTTTTGGTTCTTATTTTTACTACTATTGCTCTGTAACCTCTGTTGGCAAGCTGTTAGAAGTTTCAGTTGTTTGGATACATGTTTGTGTCAGCTGCTTGTGTCAGTTGTTTGGGTATATTTTTGTATCGCTTTAAGAAAAAATTTGTTTGGTGTGATGAGCTGTGTGTCAGCTGTTTGAGGTTTTGGATTTCAATGTAAGAAGTTGTAGATCAAAATGATTCTCCAAAAAGCTTAAAAAACAATCTTTTCGGAACCACAAAGTTGTCTAAAAAAGCTGTCCACCACACACTCCTAGTAGCTGTTAGGCTAATCATTTGCATCAAAAAGCACTTTTTTCACAAAAAGCTGCCCTAACGCTCCTTAACAACACCCTCTATATATATATATATATATATATATATATATATATATATATATATATATATATATATATATATATATATATATATATATATATATATATATAGTTCTTTCCTATATCTGCCTTCTAGAATGATAAATGATTTTGTTGGCCTTTTTTATACCTTTATGTGGTATTTATTATCTCAATTGTAAGGTCACAATATTTTTTGTTTCTACTGTTAGGCATTTGAATATGGGCTATTTCCTGGTTTGGCATTGAGTGCTGCAGAACGGTTAGATGTTGCATTCTCATGGATCAAAATAACCTTTCATTAGGTATGGTACTGATCAATCTGCATTTTTTCTTTCTTTCAGCTATATATTCAAGGGAAGATCTCCATTGACATTTAAGCATGGGAAACCTGATCATAAAGCAACCAATGTAAGGAACAATTGACTAGAAAATTTTGAATATGGGTTGACACTTGGCATGAAGTCTCTCTCTCTCTCTCTCAAACAAACAAACAAGAAAATGAGCATCATTGTGTAACCTTAGAAGCCTTATGATCTTATTAAGTATATTACATGTGCTCATATTGTTGTGGAATTAATAGATGACTTAGGGTGACCATATGCATGGTACTTGATAATGGCAGAGTTAAAATTTGCAGGAAGCAAAATCATCATTTCCCATTGAGTACCCAAAACCAGATGGAGCCATCTCTTTTGACATACTGACCTCTGTGTACAGGTAAAATCCAAATTTCATCATTGCAAGGCAATTCACCCATCACCCTTTACTTTCTTCCATCTGTTATCTGCTGATAACACCTATATTCTTGTTTGATTGGTTGTAATGTTGTGTGGCATGATAGGAGCAACACAAATCATGATCATGACCAGCCAGTCCATCTGCAATTAAAAGATTCAACTACCACTCCACGTGTTGTAAACTTGCTCAAGTACGCTGGACCAGAATCACGATATTGCCCTGCCCGAGTTTATGAGTAATAATATGAAGATGAGCCGTTTTTCATCAAACATCCGTATCAACTAATATGATCTGTGTTAGGTTCTGTGATGATATTAATCTTAATCAAAATGATAGGTATACACCAGATGATAAAGGACAACTGAAGTTGCACATTAATGCTCAAAACTGCTTGCATTGTAAGGTAATTAGTTTCATTTCACAAGCTCACTTCTATAACCCTCAATTATCTTCTTCTTCTTCTTCTTCTTCGTTTTCTTCTTCTTACATATTCATCATTCATGCCATTAAGAGTTCTATCTTCAACGTATTTTGAATAGGCTTGCGATATCAAAGATCCAACGCAGAACATCAAATGGACAGTGCCCGAAGGAGGTGGTGGCCCAGGCTATAGAATCATGTAAATTACTCTGCGGGGCCCATGTTCCCACATTTAGTAAACTTGATGAGAAATGAGTGTCTTGTGTGGAACCTTAGCTCTCTCGATATAAAATGATCACCCTTGTTTGTCTGCTTTGTCAAAAAAACTTATAATATCACCATGTTTATCTATATGACGTCGTATTAATAAGAAAGGCAAAAAAATGGTGACACTTATGGTTGTATAGATCCTATGTAATACCTCTATAAATAATATCTTTATTCTTGTTTGGTTTGTTGGATGGTATGACAAGGAGCAAGAACTTTTTTTCACCCATTGATTCATGGTTGTCATTTGTATGGTATGTGCAAATGTGCCTATTCAGGAGACAAAAAAGGCCTCGTACAAACAAACAAAACATTTTTGTTTGCACACATACAAATGTTGTACGAGCGCATCAACTATTGTAATTTGTAATCCCTTCAAAACAGCCTGCAACAAAATATTACTCCGTAGGAATTGTTGCAGTCTACACTATTGTTGAGTCATCCTACACATGTAAATTAGTAATGACAAACAAAGCTGAAGGAGAGCGTTGCTCAATCAAATAACCAACAAGGGGTTTTTAGCATATCCAGTACAAGATTAACACTGAGGATGTTTTCCAAAAGGGGGAATCAAGTCAAATGAAGAATTTTTGCAAATTTAATAAGCTAAAATAAAATGGGATCCTATGAAGTACTGTACTAGAATGAACATACTTGGTAGATTAACACAAACCAACCGAAACATGCCATGTAACAGATTCCAACAAACTATAATGCTTTACATCATTAGTCCTTCAAAGCAGTACATCCATCTGAAAGCCATTTGAGCCCTCGTTGACGATGACTTTCTCAGCTTCAAGTCTCCATTGAGCCACTCTCACATATTGGCTTAGAATGCCAATGTGTCCTCAGATCCAAAGCTTAATGCCGAAGATCACATCCCTACATCAAGCTATAAAAAGTTCATCTTCATAGACTCATGGGCGACAAAGGAATTTAAGTTCAAATCAAACTCCCCTAGAAACTTCGGGTTTGTGCAAATGTTGTTCCTGCTGCTGCTGCTGCTGCTGTTGTTGTTGCTGCTGCTGCTGCTGTGCTGGAGATCTAAGTTGTTGCATTTGGTGAAATTGATGCTGCTGCTGATGTTGTTGCTGCTGCTTTTGTGAGTGTATTTGGAGCTGCTGGAACTGTTGTGTTGTTAGCAACGTGTGCATGGAATGGTTGTTGTGATAGAACTGCTGGTTTGCTCCATAGGATGGAGGGAAGTTCATCATAGGTCCGCCATTACCAACACCTTGACCAGTCAAGACTTTCAGATGTTGTATCTCTTCTTTCAGGGCATCATTTAAGGCTATGTACACAGGGAAAAAAAGAAGGAAACATGATTTGAATTAGTCAACATCTTGCAACTAAGATGAAGATAAAAAACACTGGAGACTGAACACATGACACAACTTGAGGCTTTTCCTAATGACATAATAATATGTATAAGGGCAAAAAAAAACTTGTAAAAAGCTCTTTGGAAAAGGGAAATTCAGTACTCAAACACATGATTAAGAGTTAAAACCCAACAAAACAAACATAAAGAGAAGAAAATATGCAATAGGACAAGAAAATCTCTAAACAGTGTCATAACAAATTCTCACCATCTTGCAAGTGCACTTGTTGTTCCATTGTTTGCAGGCGCACTTTAAGTTCACTGTTTTCGGCAGTCAAGCCATTTGTGTCCCTCTGTCAAAAAAGAGACAATGTCAAACACATATATGACTTCATTCATATTTAAGGCATCACAGTTAGGGAAAATATACATTTGACTCTAAAGGGAGTATTATCATCACCATACTGTAATCCCACCTACATCGGGGCAGGTGAGTTGGGGTAGGTGACATGAAATTCAGTGTCAATTAATTCTCTAAAACTATTTGATTATTTAACACAATAATTAAATGCAAGAAACATAGTGCCAAGATTTTACGGCAGCCATTAGTGCCCTTCTTCCAGAGAGACAATGTCAAACACATAGGCCAGCCATTAGTGTCCCTCTGTCAAAAAGACAATGTCAAACAGATACATGAACTTGTTTGTATTTAAGGCATCACAATTAAGGAAATTATACATTTGACTCTAAGGGGATTGTATTATCATCATCACCATACTGTAATCCCACCTATGTGGGGGTCAGTGACACGAAGGTTATGGTTTCAATTAAATATTGATTTATTTATTTAACACTATAATTTAATGCAAAAAGCATAGTGCCAGAATTTTATTCTAAATGTCCTTCATGTCGGATCTTTCTAAAGAATAATTAATGAGATTAAATGCTAAACCATACACAATAGGAACAGCAGAAATTGATGGGATTGGACCTATTAATGCTAATGTGCTCCCACTGCTCCACATAATCAGACAAGAAAAGATATTCGAATATTTTCTTCGGATCAAGTGACCTGCTCCCCAGCACCTATAACATGTCCTCTAGGGTTGTTTGGATGGGTTTCTAGGAGAAGGTTTTGGAGTGCTTATTCTATTTCTTAATATATATTTGAGAGTTCATAAAAAATAGAAAGGTTAATACTTAATATGATATGTGATTGTATAACTTAACAATCATCTTTACTACATTTATAGAAACATTATACTCCCTCCGTTCCAAAAAGAATGTTACATTTCATTTTTTTGCGCATCACAAAAAGCACAGCTACTCACATCTAAAAATTCTAAAATTTACCATATTTACTCTTTATTATAAGATGAAATTGTTTTGAAAGTTTTTTTGGCATTTGAGACGATATAAAAGTGTTTTAAGGGATGCGCAAAAAACGAAACGTAACATTCTTTTTGGGACGGAGGGAGTATTTATTAACACATAAACTATGCCCTCCACAACCCTTCATCCAAACAGACACTATCAGTCTGCTTGTGTAGCAGAAAAAGGTGGGATAATTAATGGAAACGTAGGGGAGGGTAAGCAATTGAAGGGAATAGGAAGGAGGGGAAAATTGTGGATTTACATAACCTTGTTTGGGAGGAGAAGTTGATGGAAGTGTTTGAAGAACTTAACTACTTTTACACTCCAAATTGGAGAGAGATTTCCACTCTTCAGTGGGTACGAGATAGAATAGTTCTTCCTTCCCTTCCCATCTTCCATTTTATTCCATTCCCTTCTTTAAACCCCTCTCAAACACATAGCTTTCAATATTTTCCATTACATACATTACCCTTTCTTCCATCCACCCGAAGTTCAAACATGTCGTAAAGTAGGCTTTAGAAAATCAATTTAGAACACTTGTTGGATATACATTTTGGGTCCTATAGGCTCTTATACACACTACCTTGAGTGATCCGTTGATAGTAAGAATCTACCTATTTGCTTCCATAGCAATCACACTTGGCATTTGCTTTCTTCTTATGCATATTACCCAAACCAATTTAATAAGAACACATTCCCCTATGCTTCAACGACACACGTAGCCTTCAAGACTTCATATTTGCAAGACAAAAACCCCCCATCCCCGCCCCACATAAAATGAAGAAAAAAGAAAACAAAACTTGAAAAAACATGATTGGAAATCATAAATATACCTGCAGCAGGGTCAACTGAGCAGACAATGAGGTGGCTTCGGTTTGAAGAGTCTGGACTTTTCTTTCAAGCTCAGCAATATATCTCATTTTCCTTTCCTTTGATCTAGCGGCAGATTGCCTGTTGGCCCAAATCCTAGAACGCAGAAAGGATAAAAAAACACTATGAGAGCATGAGGGCAAGCAATTATGAAAAAACAACTTCTTTTAGGGACCCATAATGTGACAAGAGGATAAGAATTCTATGCAGACAATGAGATGATTGTGTATTCACTGTAATTAACAAATTGCTATGCTCTTGGAGTCTTGGGAAAAAATACTTTAAGCATTTCACTGGTGTAGCCTCATTAAATGAATTAGTAGACAGGTAGGTAGAAGACCTGCCTCTCACCAGCTCACATGTCATGTCATACCTTCTAATAAACTTCACAATGTAGAAAACCAGTACCAAATGAAAACAAGTAGAGCTTGTTTGGTTAGTCTCATGTGAAAAAAACTAAAAAACTTTTTGCATAAGAGCTTTATCAAGTATGTTGCATGGAGTAAGTGCCGCTTCCCCATCTTATTCATGTTTAGGTACTTGGAGACGTCCAAAAGCCATTAAAAAAAATTGAAGAGTTGATGTTACCCAGTCCCCATTTGAGTACCTGCCATGTCACTGTACAACTTAAAAAGTTGTAGGTGATTGGTTTTCACCTATTTACCTCAAACTCTCAAAGGCACAAAATTTTAGATTTTGGAGTGTGTTAGGCAACAAGCTTATTTGAGTGTGAGATAACTTCAGTTTGCTTCTCTCAAAAGTACTTAAACCATGTTGCAATTTGCAAACTTATTTTGTTACACTCAAATTCTTTTGAACAAAAATAAAAACTCAACCTATAAGTTTACATAAGAGCCACATTATCGGGATAAAAGGAGATGACAAATAAGGGGGCGTTTGGTTCGTGCTGAGGAAAGGGAAAGGAATCAGGAAAGGGAATGATTACCCTTGAATTACCTGTCTGTTTGGTTCAGTACCGGAAAGGGAATCGGAGCGGGAGTAGAGATTGGAGCGGAGCGGGAGGGGGAGGGGGAGGGGGAGGAAACAGAGCTGGAGAGGGAGGGGAGGAACATACATGGGCTGCGGTGCATATGGAGTCACGGTGTGGCGGCGAGACACGGCGTTTCGGCAAGACGCGGTAGGGTGGCGACGAGACGCAGTGGGGTGGCGGCTAGAAGAAATGGACGGGGAAGAAGGGTTAGGGAAGGGGAAGAAGGGTTAGAGAAGGGGAAGGGGGAAATGGGAATGGGATACCCTGATAGGGAGCGGAGAATGGAAAGACGGGAAACGGGGTAATCCAAAACCGAAAAATGGAGAAACAGAATGAACTTTTTTTCAAAACAAACAACAACAAACGGAATCCGGGAATCCCATTCCGTTTCCCTTATTCCCGTACCAAACGCCCCCTAAGTGCTTTTGGTTGGCCACATTGCATCTGAAACATTTAGACTCTGACATACACGAGTCTGCCTCCCTGCCCTCCCATGTTTATGCATGCAAACAAATAAGTGATGCGCAATCTCTAACTTATTTTATGAGCCCATCTTGATTGCATCTTCAGGACAAACGATTATGTATCCAAGTAAAAGGGAATACAGACGATATAATGACTAAACCAT